AGTGATGATGGGAGCAAATGGGGATAAGCCCTGTATTATTCCATGCACAACCATAAAGATGGTCGTTGAGAACATCTCGGCCTTACAGTTGAAGAAGGGAGTCAAAATACATGAACCCACGTTCATGGCTACCCTTTGTATTGAAGATATAGAAAGCTCATCGGGTCTCATTCCTACACCCGTGAAGGAGTTGCTATTGGATTTTGAAGACGTCATGCCACACGATATGCCAAAGCGACTCCCGCTTAGGCACATTGTGGACCATTAGATTGAGTTGGTGCCGGGTGCGAAGCCACCCGCCCGTGAGCCTTACAAAATGTCACAACCCGAGCTCACCGAGCTTCGGAGATAATTCACGGAAATGCTAGACACGGGGATCATTATGCCCTCCAAGTCCCCTTATGGGTCCCCTGTGCTATTCCAAAAGAAACAGGATGGAACCTTATGACTCTATGTGGATTATCGTGCCCTAAACAAAATCATCGTGAAGAATAAGTACCCTATCCCGCTCATGGCAGACTTGTTCGATAGGTTGGGTGGTGCCACAGTGTTCACCAAAATAGACCTGAAGACAGGTTACTGGCAAGTCCGAATTGCTGAAGGAGATGAACACAAGATGACCTGTGTGACAAGATATGGATCATACGACTTTCTGGTCATGCCATTCGGCTTGACTAATACTCCAACCACATTTTTCACATTTATGAACCAAGTCTTCCGCGAGTACATTGATGAGTTCGTAATAGTCTACTTGGATGATATTGTGATATATAGCAAAACATTGGAGGAACACCTGGAGAACCTGCAGAAGGTCCTAACCCGACTACGGGAACATGAACTATATGCGAAGCTGTCCAAGTGTGCATTCTCCCAAAAGCAAATTGACTTCCTCGGACATGTCATCGAGGAAGGGCGGATAAAGATGAACCAACAGGAGATTCAGGTCGTCACAGATTGGCCGCCGCCTAAGGATATCCATGCCTTGAGGGAGTTCCTTGGCCTATGCAACTTTTATCGGCGATTTGTGAATAATTACTCTCTCATTGCATTGTCATTGATAGAACTCCTGAAGAAGATCATGCCTTGGGATTGGGGTCCCATGCGAGAAAATCGACTATGTCTAGTAGCCCCGTCTTGGCCCTTCCTGATTTGGCCAAGCCATTCGAAGTACAGAAGAATGCCTCTGACTATGCTCTAGGCAAAGTCTTGCTACAAGAGGGGAATCCAGTGGCGTACCGGAAGTTGAAGGATGCAGAACAGTGCAATGCCGCCCACGAAAAATAATTATTGGATGGCGTCCATTGCTTACGCCTTTTGAGGCACTATCTGTTGGGAACCACGTTCATGGTCAAGAAAGACAACACAGTTGTTAGCTATTTCATGACCCAACCAAAGCTGAATGCACGACAAGCCAGGTGGCAGGAACTCCTAGCGGAATTTCACTTCAACTTGGAGTACCGAAGCGGAAAAACCAACCAAGTTGATGATGCGCTCAGTCGAAGGGCTGACTTAGCATCGGTGTGCCTACTCACCACCCTCAGGGGGATCGAAGTGGCCACCACTATAAGAGACCAGATACAAGATCTACTCCCAAAGGATCCCGATGCACAATATTTGGTCGATTTGGTAGGACAGGGCAAGACTCACCAGTTCTACATGGAAGATGGGTTCCTGAAGGTGAAAGGGAACTGACTTTATGTTCCTAAAGGATGAGATCTGCGAAGGACTCTTCTGATGGAATGCCATGATACTTTGTGGGCAGGCCATCCAGGTGAAGAGCGCACCATGGCGTTGTTGCGTCGTGCTTATTATTGGCCTCAAATGGCCAATGATGTTGCTCAGTATGTGAAGACTTGCTTAGTATGCCAGAAAGACAAGTCAGACCGCTTGACACAAGCGGGTCTTTTGGAGTTATTGCCTATTCCAAAGAGAACTTGGGAAAGCGTTTCACTGGATTTCATCACCGGGCTACCTAAGGTCGGAGATCTCACAATTATCTTAGTTGTGGTAGATCGGTTTTCCAAGTATGATACATTTATAGCTGCCCCACAATATATATCAGTAGAAGATACAGCCCAACTCTTCTTCTCTCATGTTGTCAAATACTGGGGTCTGCCTAAAGACATCGTTAGTGATCGCGACTATCGCTTCACTAGCAATGTTTGGGCTCAGCTCTTTAAGTGCCTTGGGTACAAATTGAGCCATTGTTCAAGTTTTTATCTGCAATCTGATGGCCAGACAGAGCGGTTCAATAGCATGTTGGAGGAATCTCTCCGTCCTTTTTTTACCGGATCGCAGAAGAATTGGGTGAAGCTTCTGGATGTTGCTCAACTGTGTTTCAATTCACAAAACAGCTCTAGTACAAACAAAAACGCTTTTGAAATTATTATCGGACAGCAATCGCTACTCCCACACACTCTGAATGCCCCAAACATGTCGAAATCTCCTTGAGTTGATATCTTCTCGAAGGAATGGAAGCGAAATTTGTTGATAGTGTGGAGCTATCTGGTCAAAGCCCAAAAGCGGATGAAGAAGCATGCTGAACAAAATCGTCGCTTTGTTGAATACCAAGTAGGAGACAAAGTGATGGTGAAAATTCCGAAGCGATACTTGTTTGCAGGGGTCCATGACCCTCGTCTATTGCAAAAATACATTGGACCTTTGTCCATTGAGAAGCGCATTGGAAAAGTTGCATACCGGGTGGATACCCCAGCCTGGTGGAAGATTGATTCAGTCTTCCATGTCAATCTTCTGAAACTCTTTCGGGAAGACATGGAGAATCCTTCACGGAACCAACTCACAATACCCAATATTCGAGGCCCTAATTCAGTCGGAAAAAGGCGGGTAGAAGCTATTCTCGATGATTGAGTGGTTCATTTTTCAAGGAAAGATCACCAAGAGTTCTTGGTGAAATGGCAGGGTTGTGATGCAGAAAAGAATACTTGGGAGAGGGGAACAAACCTCAAAGCCTACAAGAGCCTGATCGATGATTATCTTGCAAGTAAGGCGCCGAGGACGTCGCCAACTCAGGTGGGGGAGAATGTCATGGGCGGCTATCCAGCCATGCCCCATGACTCCTTGGACGCGCCCCATGGCGTCCTGGTAAGCCTCCCAACGCCTAGCGTCATGGTCGACCCTGTGGTCCTGGCCGCGCCAAGTGACAAGCGCGCCTGTGACTATGTCGCCCCACTGATAATCCTCTCCAGCGCCCAGCCGCAGGCAGATGCCAACAGAGTCGTGTGTGCAAACGGTGCCCCGCGCGCAGACCCTGATGCTAAAGACAAGGTTGCTGCCAATGGATCGGCTTCTATTTTGTAGGAATCTAAGTCCTTTTCATTGTAAATATAGAGTAGTTTTATTTCATGTATTTCTATTATGTCTCCCTAGCTTAGTTAGGTCAAGTCATATAACTTTGGTTTATTTGTTTTAAGCACTATAAGGGAGATCAAGCAATTAAACTTTCTAGCAAGCAAACAATTCTCTGTACTGGTGTCTCTCTCCCTCGACACAGTATTGTTTTTCTGTAATAGCTTTCATTAATGCAATCAAGCTTTCTTTCATTCTCAATTCTCATTTATGTTCTCTTAATTGCTCTTGACATTGGCTTTCCTATACGCACTGACAATCTCGTCTAGCGTACGGAGGGGACCTCAGTTGGCGGATAGTAACTGCACTGACATCGGTTGCTTAACCTTACGTCGCCCTTTCAAGGAATCTTATGAAGGCGTCGCGTAACAATACGTGTTCTTTTCATTTCCCTTTAGTTTATGCATTTTCAAAGGTAACTGCCCTATTCTCCGGATTAGACAACACCATTTGCTAATATAAATATTGCTTTTGGCGATGGCCTCTTGCGCTCGTCTCTAATATTCACATCCGTCCTTCATCACTTTCCCTTCCCTAAAATAAAAACAGAGAGGTGGCTCTACGAAGCTATTTGCCACTGTTTTCCTCGTGCTGGTACTTATTCTGGGCAGTGGTAATTAACTTCTTGCGTCTCCCTTTAGTTCTAGATTTGACACTTAGCTAACGACAACAACAAACGTACCTAATATAATCCCACAAATGGAATTTGGGGAGAGTAGTCTGTGTATGCAGACGTTACCTCTACCTTGCGCAGATAAAGAGGCTGTTTAGACCCTCAGCTCACACTCAGCTAGTACAGTCAAATACAAAAGTACGTTTGCACATATATAACTGCTTGGAGGATACTGCTACAATTAATTAAGCTCTATTCCAAGAGCATCCACATCCTAATTGACGTACGTATATAATTCGTTTTCATCCTACAAATTAAACATTTTAGTATTTTACTATGAGTATACATTTCCTTAAGGGACGTTCATAGGATCATGAATAAACTTAAATCCCTTCTTTCCAACCCGTAAAGGTCTGAATAAGTATGATATAACACTATTTTTTATGTATATAAGTATAGTCAACACTTTAATTTCCATATATAATGCGATATATTGGTTTAATGGATGTGTGGAGGCAAAATATGCAAGAAGCGGAGCCAAAACTTCCATGGGCGGTGCCACAGCCGGCAAAAGTGTGCTGATATTTGCCACACTGAAGGCTTTGAAAGTGGTCACTGTAAAGGCTTTTTCAGTCGCCGCTGCAACTGCACCAATCCTTGCTAAATCGTTATAACCTCATGAAAAATAATGAAAGGGTTGCTCAGAAATAATGGATGTTGTTTTCGTGGTAAAATGGTTGTAGTTAACCTCTTTGATGGCTATTGTTAGTGGAAACTTTAAAAAAAAAACGTTCACCTTTCTTGGGAGTCTCTGTATAAAAAGTAATATTTGACCTATTGTACACAATATTTCGACAAAGGGTGTTCAACTAACCATCCTTTGTCGACTATAACTCCGCCCCAACGCCCAACACACCCTTCGGCCGCATATTAAGGAGATTTATGAACATGCTAAAAAAAAAAAGATGTGGCAGAGAGCAAAAGAATGATGATCTTCCAGGGCAATTAGAGAGAACGCACATTTGATTATGAAAAAACACGCATAAATCAGCAATTTGGCCAATATGAACAAAGAAAATGGAGAAAGACAAATGACCATTTTATACACTGAATTTATATTACCTTTTCAATAGCAGCACTAAAATAAAACGAAAGTGTGACATTTACTGCCCCCATCTAGTGCATGCCTTTGATAAATTTGTCAATGGTTGGACCTAGTTTTGGAGAGTTTTCATGAGCAACAACTACTCTGTGCTGTTTGGCGTTCTTGTTTCTGTTTCAAGATATTTTTCTTCCCTGGAGCAGATCCTTCTTCCAGAAGACTTGGTACCTCCATTATCTGGGTACAGTATAAGATTAACAAAAAGGTGAATCTTGAATATCTATTCAACAATAACAACAGCAATATACCTAGTGTATTCCTATAGTGTGGGTTTTTGGGAGGGTAATATGTACGTAGACCTTACCCTACCTTGTGGAGGTAGAGAAGTTGTTTCCGATAGACCCTCATCTTGAATATCTCGTCAACATCTAGAAATGGCCGGAAGGCATGTTCTTTTGTAATTTTCAAGTAATATATTATAGTTTTCTTAAGTGTAAAAAGATGTCATGGCTTTTGGAATACTTGCACCAATAGATTCTTAAAACGTCAAGGTATTCCTTGTGTCATGAAACAAAAATGGGTGAATGTAAATTAGGACAGGAAACAGTAGCAACTCAAAGTTAGGGAGACAAAGGGAACAAAAGGGAAAGAAAAAGGAAGTGACAACAAGTTTCCAAAGTGTCTAGACCAATCATCAATTTGGATTTTGGTTGGGGTAATGGGGATTTCCATGAGCATAAATAAACTTGCTTGTCATAATCTTCTGTCAAAGTCTATATAATGAAAACACCAGCAAATATCTCATTAAGGTAACATTTTGTAAAGGTTTTCCATCAAAGGTCAGTTAAAGCACCTATAAACTGATCTAATACCAATTACCAAACATCAATATTTTTAGATCTGTATCCACCATGATATTAGTTTGAATTTGATTCGGATATGAATATAAAGAGATGGTAGATACATTTTCTCATTCATAAAAGCGATTAATTTAAACCTAAATCCTAAAATAGGAGAAGACTCACAATCCAATTTTATAATGCCAAAGTGACACCGTATTCAAATCACGAGAATCAGTATATGTTCTTGAATATGTCTAGAATTAATTCTTGCATATCTACTTCTATTTGTTTTATGGGTTGGGAAAGGTGAAGATTTTCAAGAAAGGGAATCATATGTCCTTGACTGTATTTGCAATTTATTTACATATCGACCAAATTTATGAGGTGCAAATTCTGCAGATTTCTATGTCAGTAGCAGACATCCAAACTTAAGGAATCCTTCTCTTTTTTCTTTTTTTCTTTTTTAATGTTTTTCTCTATTGATATCTCTGGGCTGATAAACCTTTTTTCTTCAATCTGTGGAAAGGGTATTGGGGCCATGACAAACATCTCTTCTGAATCCTACGGAAAGAGTAAAGGAGTATCATTACCTTTAAGGTAAGCTCTTCAAAGCATTGCTCTACATTTGCTCGGGTTTTAGCACTGCACTCAAGAAATAAACTTCCAAGCTCTTTTGCTAGAGCAACACCTTCCTCCCTGCTCACAACTCTCTCAGATTCCTGAAATTCCATGCTAAAAAGAATCAGCTAAATAGGTCCTATAATTCATCTAGATTTATACAAGCATCAAATAATCTTATAGTGAATGGAATGAATGTAACTGCTAATGTTAATGTTAAAGGTACCTATTAACACATGGATAACAAGAGCAAGATACATCAAGGGTAGAAAAAGAGTACGTCCACGAAGTGAGTCAAGACATGCAATTTATAGATCATATTTGGTTTGCATATATAGGCAGAGATTAGCCTACAACTCAGCTCCTAAACGGAATTAATACTGTATATTCATGTTTAAAAGGTGGCCTCATTACTCGTTTTCGCAAGAGCATTATATCAATTGTCTATCAAGAGTGATGGTTTCCTATTCTAAGAACCTTCTCAAGCAAACCAGACGCTGCAGCAGGATAAAGTGCACTCCAAGCATTCAAGATCGTACACAAGCATATTCACTCTCGCAGGACTTACTCTGTCAGTTTTGTTTCCAACCAGCATCTTGATACAATCCTCATTAGTACAGTAAAGCTCCACCTCTTTTGCCCACACATCAGATAGGTTTGTGAATGTGTCTCTCCTTGTCACATTGTAAACTGTGATTTATAGTAAAGGCGATCAGATATTATGAACACAGAAAAGAAATGCAATGACAAAGTATTGCATAACAAATAATGCAGGAAAATGCTTCGTTTGTTGATGCAACTAGGAAAGCTTAAGTTCGTTGACAAGTATTTGAAGATTATCCGGATTAAAAATGAAAATTCATCATTTGCATGTCATCATATGTTTCCATTAGGTGCTCGTAAGAGCCAATCAACAAACTCAGATAACGGGACTTAGGAAGACGACAGTCAGTTCACATTTCTGTTGCAAAAAGCTTCTAAATGTTTGTAATGAAGATGCTCATTCACAGACACTTTTTCAGTGTACTTTGCTGGACAGAATTCCAACAGGGAAATATAGAGAAAGAAATATCGAGTGATATCCTAGGGCTTACTGTAATAAAACTTTTGAAGAGTTCTAAAATCATCCACTCTAAACAACAAGAGCATTCTCATCTTGGTACGATGTAGGTTCCTTAAGCACTAACATTTCATTTAGAAGCATAAATAGAATTCTGAAGACATTGACATGTAGCCCCTCTAGCATGGTATGAAATATTTCTTCATTCATGACATACCAAGAATGATTCCCTGAGCACCTCTGAAGTAGGAGTTTGTCAATGTCCTGAACTTCTCCTGTCCAGCTGTAGAAAATATGCTAAGAAAAGTCACAAGCTTGCCATGGCATCTAGGCAAACGTAAAAGGCACATGCCTTTATGATGTTACTGAGGAAGAGATGATGCAACAATTTAGGTTATTATGTTGGAGTAGAACAATGACAGAAGTTATGTCCGTGATAAACTTCTATCATCAATTTTGTTAGAAGTTAAACTCTAACATTCTTGAGATTAAAGCAGAGCATTATAGATTTCATTTCACTGGCAGAGTGATCCCAGTTTTGCTATATTAACACAATAACTTTAATTCAAAATCCAAAACTGTAACAGCCTTTGTGCGCCAAGAGTATATATAGGAAGAAGATCAAATTCAGCAGGTCACTATTGACGAACAATCTTACTATGGTCTATATTACGGGAAGACATACTACCAAAATAAGCACATGAATTCACGGTGGCATCATACAGGAAAAGAAACAGAAAACCATTGGGGAAGAAATTCCAATGGTCTCCAACCGTCTTTCAAAGCGTAATACACCATATTCGTTAAAGCCTTAGCTGTTAGAGAATACAGGAAAATCTTACCTGTGTCCCAAACGGTAAGCTTCAATCTTTTCCCACCAACAGTGAGCGTCTTGATTTTAAAATCGACACCTAGTCATTAGGGAAAAGAAACAGAAAACCATTGGAAAGTCGAGTTAGAGAGAAATACACTATCATTTAAAGACCTCTAACTTAGCAATCAGCGAGACAGAGACAGAGAAGTAAATAATTAAGCTCAGTTAGTTGAACTTCTAGCTTGCTTCTCCTTCTTCTTCTCTTTTCTTTTTAGATTTACTTGTTCTTATATTCTTTTGCTGATCAGGGTGCTCTCCTGAAGATTTTGTACTTAAGCATCCTAATCCAAAATTTTATTATGAACAACTTAACATATTGTTCGTTTCTATATGTGAAACAAATAGTATTTTGACATTATTTTATACCACATGACATATTCGAGGAGTCAATTCAACCCAAAGAAAGCAAAAATTGATACTTGGTATGGTTAGATGGATGAACAAGGACTCAAATGAACTAAAAACCTATGTTGCGTGGACTCTCCAAAATGTTGCCGCACCCATGTCGGATCCTCAAAAAATATTCTACTTTTGGAGGATCTGACACACACCCGAAGACAAGACATTTTCGAAGAATCTAAGCAACATAGCTAAAACTTCAATCCATGACCTGACATAGAAAATCATGAACGTAACAGTGAAACAGAAATTTAGGATGAAGCAAAGCAACAAGCAGCCATCACATAAGATGGAGAAGGTTGAGTGCTGCATGAAGAATATGATAAAAATTCGAGGCAATTAAGAGTCCAACACTAAATTAAAGCTTCTTGACTACCACAGTCCACAAGGAAGGACCATATGTGTACATAAAACCACTATAAATCACTCAACCAAGAACAATAGGGAAATTAATCACAGCCATTATTTTATACAGATGTTCAATTTAGATGCTTAAAAACAACAGCTACAGATCTAGAAAAGTTCATAACAACGTACGATAGGATGCAGAGTATTAGGTTTTCAGCAACAACTAAACTTTTTCAAGAGAAGTATATGCACAGTTGAATTCAAACTCCGAGCTTTTATGCACACTTAATCACTGAAGATCATAAAATCCAAATTTTAGGAAAATATCAAATCATAAAGCTAGACAAAAATGCAAAATACTATATTTACACCAGGATGAAAAATATATACTCCCTCCGTTCCAATTTATATGAACTTATTTCTTTTTTAGTCCGTTCCAAAAATAATGAGCCCTTTCTAAATTTGAAAATAATTTAGCTTAAACTTCTAATTCTACTCTTAATGAGAAGCTTTTATAGCCACTTTTTGACTTGTTTAGGACCACAAATTCCAAAAGTTTTTGTTTTTTCTTAAATTTCGTGTCCAGTCAAACAGGTTCACATAAATTGGAACGGAGTGAGTATTATTTACACAATCAAGTCATCTAAATACTAGTTGAAAGTATCTATATATTTTACTACAATAGATATAAATTGATACGTCAAAAAATATAGCACGTCACCTGTTACAACCTGTTAGAGAACTTAAATTATTGAATACTGGATTGAGATAAGTTTAATTTGAGCAATGTTCATATTTGACAAGACCCTAACTAGTTTGGATTGAGAGGTAGCAGTAGCAGTAGTAATTGTACCAATGGTAGGGGTAATATCGTCAATAGCATTAGAAATGAAACTAAGGAGCAAGCTGCTCTTGCCAACTCCTGAATCACCGATCAATAATATCTTAAAAGACAAATCATAGCTGCTGTTGCTGCTGTTGCTCTGCGCCGCCGTTGATGATCCCATTACCTAACACTCTCTTTCTCTCTCAATGAAAAACTCTCTCTCTCTCTCTCTCTCTCTCTCTCTATATATATATATATATGTATGTATAGGTTTTGGAGAGAGAAAGAGAACGGCAAGCTGAAGAATGAGGACAATGTCATTGTTGTCATGCAAGTTATGCTTTTATTCTTTTCTCTTTCTTTTTTTTATTCTGCTGAGTAGCAAATAGAGAGATTCATTACAGAACATGATTCTGTTTCTGAGTGACACGCATTGCACCTGAGAGGTGGAGTGGCATTGAGGTAAATAAAGAATGAACCAGGGGTGAAGAGTTAGTGCGATTGGGCTCCAGCGTCGTCTTCTACTCCAAATCAAAATCTCTGTGGTATTGGGTTGGACCCAAGACGTTTTCTTGTGTAGGAAATTACGCCGGGTGGATTTTTTTTTAGAACAACGTTTATATTATGACCCTGTTAAGAAAATTTCATTAAATACCCTTGTTATCAGAATTTTGAAGTCACTGACAGAATTTTTCCGTATAAATAATTCTGATGATTGACATATTTGTGTCGAACCATAGTGATCACTATATGAAAATGTCTGGCGATTGCCTTTGTAAATCCCGGTGATGACCATACGAAAATTTACCATGTTTTGTTGCAAATCTTGATAACCACCATATGAAGAAATTTAGTGACTGCTATGTTTTTATAGCAAATCTATGATCACCATATAAAAAAATTTGGCGATAGCTAGGAACGCTTTCCAATGGAGAATGGAATGAAGGCAAAACTATGGAAATTGGAATGAAAAAGATTTGAAAATAAAGTTTGAAATAATAAATAAGGAGGCTATTTATTGGTTTTACAACGACGGTTCAAAACTGGTAATGGCCGACCGTTGACTGACGCGCATTAAATACCCGGAAAACTGTACCGACGAGGCGTTTCGGTCACTCATGTTGCTTATGTCACGACGATTACGTCATGATGTATCGAGGTGAAGATCGAAGGCTCAAATCGTTTCTTGTCATTACTCTCCAAAAACTGAAGGGACTATCTGTATACGGTCAAGATTTTGTATGGTTAATCGAGACCGAGAAGGATAGAGATCTAGCGAGATCGAAGGAAGCCTCATAAGTCGAATAACAGAAAGCCGAGAAATCCGTGATCGAGCGAGGATTGTGGCGGAGATCTCGGCATGTATCAAGTCAAGACCGGTTGATTAGCCAATTAGGAGATTTCCTTCTGTATTTAGAATTGTACCATATGTAGAACTACTCTAGTATATAAAGGGGTTCCAATCATTTTGTAAGGGGGACATTCACGTATAACAAAATAATATATTACATTTTCTCTTTTAAGCTCTCTTATTCAGTTGTTCAGTTCTTGCATTTCAATAATATACTCAGTTGGTTCGAGGGCGACCTAGCTCGAAATCACATATCCTTAAAATCACTTACAAATTTAATTGTTATCTGATTTTAAGGGTAAACAGTTTGGCGCTCACCGTGGGGCTAAAGATAATAGTGATTGTCTGGTGCTAATTTTCATAACACACAATGTTTTACACTTGTTCTTGTACACGTTTTTGATTCCAGGATCAGCATGTCGAACTCTCGAGCAGTACCCACACACATCGATAATGGCCTTGGTTTTCATGGTGAAAATGACAACGTAGCCGCCGCCCCAAGGAAACGAAGTGCCTCCAGTTGACCTCGAGGGAGCACCAGTTGCAGACCCCATCGACGTCAGTTCCCATGATGCCCTGAATGCAAATCTGGGCATCGACCCCGAAAATAGCGTTCGCAGAGACGTTCGATCAGCCGGTCAGAACGCACAGGGCGGCGAAGAAGGCGGAATCAGCCTTCGAATAATATTCGAAATGTTGCAGTCTCAACAAGCTGCAATAGCACAACTTCAAAATCAGAACCACGCACTGAGTATGGTCGAACCCGAGCCATCACAGGAAGTTGTTTACAGGGACGAACCAGTGCCGGGGAGGTCAAATGTGAATGAGTCAGGGACTGACCCCGGTATCTTGAAAATGTTCTAAGAGCTGACAAAGCGAATTGAATCGGGGGAGAAGAAGATTGAAGCGAATGACAAAAAAAATGGAAACATATAACTCTCGAGTTGATCAAATTCCAGGGGCACCACCGATTTTGAAGGGTTTGGATTAAAAGAAGTTCGTACAAAAGCCATTCCCTTTGAGCGCAGCTCCTAAGCCCATTCCGAAGAAATTTCGCATGCCAAAAATTCCCAAGTATAATGGAACGACCGACCCCAACGAGCATGTCACTTCTTACACATGCGCAATAAAGAGGAACGATCTAGAGGACGATGAGATTGAGTCTGTACTGCTAAAGAAATTAGGAGAAACTTTATCAAAGAGGGCGATGATATGGTACCATAACTTGCCACCTAACTTCATTTATTCTTTTGCCATGCTCGCAGATTCCTTCGTTAAAGCACACGCGGGAGCGATAAAGGTCGAGACTAGAAAGTCGGACCTCTTCAAAGTAAAACATAAAGACAACGAGATGCTCAGAGAGTTCGTATCTCGGTTCCAAATAGAGCATATGGATTTGCCCCCGATCGCCGATGATTGGGCCGTTCAGGCTTTCACTCAAGGCCTAAACATACGAAGTTCGGTAGCCTCACAATAGTTAAAGCAGAACTTGATCGAATATCCAGCTGTAACCTGGTCCGATGTGCATAATCGGTACCAGTCAAAGATTAGGGTCAAGGATGACCAGTTGGGGGCTCCTTCTGGGTCCGTTTATCCAAACAGGACCATCGATAGAGTTAAAAGGGATATTGACAGGGAACCATGGTCAAACAGAGATCGATATCAGCCATACAGTAGAGATCGGAGAAATAACGGGCCTGGACGCAACCCCGTTCGAATTGATAGAAGAAATTATCGAGGACAGAGCTCTCGAGGGCTCATGAGTAAGAGCGGTTTCGACAAAATTGTTGAACCTAAAGAAGCACCACGACTATCGAAATACAACTTCAATATTGATGCATCAGCTATTGTATCGGCCATTGGGCGCATCAAAGATGTCACCGGTCTGAGTGATTTGGAGGCTCCGAAGAAGAGCTCGGGCGAGGCTTCCTCGAGTTTTAAACTAACCAATCAATTTTCGGCCCCTAGTGTCAATCCTAGGCATAAGCGAACAATCGTTATCACGATTTCGGAGGATGCCCGGGTTCTTGTTGCCCCCGTAGGGGTGGCTAGATACCTCCAATGTTTGGTCACGGAAGAAGACCAAACCCAGATGCATGAGGTGGGAGTGCCTTGTCTTTTCAACAAAGCCCAACAGGCCCTGAACGGGGTAAGTTCATATTTTCTTTGTCAATTTTCATACTTGTACTTTTCTCCCCTTGTATAATTCCTTCTTTCTATTTTTGTAGGCTTTTGTGCTTCATCACGAGGCTTTCTTCAGATCCCGAGGGGAGATGAGCCGGTACGAAGCCGAAATCCGAGGGCTTACTGAGGAGAGAGATGCCTTCAAGCTTCTTAGTGAGCAGAGAGAAGGGAAGCAAAAGGACTTCGGGATGAGCTAGAAGTAGCTGAGAAAGAACAAGATGATCTGGCCGAGCAGGTAAAAAGAATCTTTGAAGTTAATGACACTAACTCGGGCGTGGTGGCTAACATTTCGGTCCCACAGGTCCAGCGAAAGCTCGATGTGATCGGGCAGCTTCGTGAGGAAGTGGACGTAGTGAAAACGGAGGCCGAGGCATAGAAGAAGAACATGGACCGCCTTGCCTCAGAAAAGGAGGTTGCCCGAGCTCAACTGGCCTCGGCTGAGACCCAACTCCGAAGCTTGAAAAAGAAGGCCTTGGTGCAAGCCAAGAAAATTGAGGAGTTCCAATCTCGGTTGGGTTCAGCAACTTTCGATCGAGAGAGGCTGGCCATAGAACTTGCAGCGGCCAAATCGAAGGTTGAAATGGCCAAGGCTAATGCTGATGCAATGGTGGCCGTCTACCGGTCCGACGCTGAAGCTGCTCAGGTTCGAGCAAAAGAGGTTGCCGAAGCTGCTCGGGCTCGAGCAAACTGGGTTACCGAGTATGCTAAATGCCAGTCTCGAAGGGAGACTCTCGAGGAGATCCATGCTCGTGGCTTCAATCTTACAGCCGATCAAGAATGCTAAGGAGCTTGAAGCTGAAGCCAAAGTGTTGGCCTTTCCTGATGATGATGATTCTGGGAGTATGAGCGTATATGAAAGCGAAGAAGGCCTCGAGGGCGAAGATGTTTCTTCTGGAGAAGACTATGTCCTTTAGGATTAGTATTTTTTTTGTTTTTTTTAAAACCATTTCGGCCTTTTGTAGAGAAATTTGATAGGGCCATGCTGTCCTTGTAAATGATTTTTGACATATATATATATATATATATATATATATATTGCTCGAACTCGAAGTAAAGTAATCCTTAGATTTTTTATTTGAGCGAGGATGGTCTCTCGAACTCAAAGCAAAAAACAGCCCTTAGGCTTTTGTAAAAAGATTGTTTATGACTTTCTCCTCTTTTCGGCTTGAAAAAGTTTTTTATCATTTGTATTTGCAAAACTTGTAATGCCTTAGCATAAAATAAGGAATTGTTCGAGAGTTCGAACAATTTTCTACTCATTAGAGTTTTCGAGGCTTGATATTATCGAAACCTTTTATGATTTTGTCGAGGGTAGCCTTTTTAACTGGTTTATGAAAGAATTCGAAGGCCTGTTTTGTTAAGGAATTTGGACGTCTTCGACCCGTGTTAATTCGGCCGTAGATTCTTTAGTTCGGGATTTGCCCCTTGGGATTATTTTCCAGTTTTACTTCGAGCATGCCCGAAGTGTCAGTCCTTGAGTGGGGTGGTCGTGGTCAATAAAAATTGAGGGTTGCCTATAAGGTCTTATGATCTCGGAGTTTTAATAATTCGATCTCGTTTATTTTTCGGACGATAGTCCCCAAACGTGGGGGTAATTATCCAAACTCTGGATATTATCGTCCCTTAAGCCTGTTTACATAATAGATCGAGAGTATGAAATTGTAAAGTAGAAAAACTTTTCTAAGGCATAAGATATCGGTAAAGAAAAATACTTCTCTTTATAAATGATTATACATGCGTACATGTTCTGTTCCTGGACTCGAGTAAACTATGCGGGCATGGTTCGTTTGA